CCTCCATGTGGCTCCTGCTTGCTCTTTGGGACCTGCCACCAGGTCATGGTGAGGCAGGTCGCCCAGATCCTAAGGGGTATCCAGCTCACCACAGGCCTGCCCCTCCCCAGGGGACAGTTTCTTGCGCCAGCCTCAGGGACTCGACTGGACAGTGATCAGGGCTGCATGTGCCTGCTTCCCGGTGTCCTTCCCACCCTCCCCAGCCAACAGCTCGGCAGCCTCTTCCATTGTGCACTTTGCCCAGTGGGGTGTGGCCTGCACCCTCCCTGGAGCCCCACTGTGAGTGCCTTCACTGCGTCCCACCTGGGGGCGACAGCCTGACCCCAGGTGTTCTGAAACAAGAAGTGGGGATCATGTACCCGCCAGGCTGGTCGCTCCCAGGACAGGGCTAGCTCTCCTGTTCTGCCGGGGCTCCCTGACCCGTGTTGGCGCCCCCTGCCATGCTCCCCGTCGGGTCACTCTCTGTGGGACGCAGACGTGCCATGACAGGTGTATCCAGAGGAGTCCAAGAGGCACCCACGGGGCTGCGATCACCCAGGAGAAAGGGTTCTCTAGGTCCAGGGGATGGGCCTGAGCCCACCAGACTTCAAGTGATGCTCTGTGGGTCAGCCCCCAGAGCTGTTCCAGGGAGAGAGCGAGGGCCAGTGGCCTTGGTAGGGTGATCTTTGAAGGGGTCCAAGAGAGGAGAAAGATGTGCCTGTAAACACACTCACATACGCATAAGGAAAGTAGATAAAAGTGGGCTGTAAAAAAAAATCATTTAAAAAAATAAAAGCCCCCACTGTAGGCCCCGTCTTCCAGAATCTGTTGTAACAGATTCACCCAAGCTGGTTAACGGTATTTGCGGTTTGCAAGATGGTACATGTCCTGGGAAAATGACAGACAAGTTATTATCACCTCTCCACTGTCCTCTTGCCTAAACCTGCCCATGCCAGGCACCCAGCTGCCGGGAGCGGGTGCGAGGAAATTAACAGCCCCGCGCCCGCCCACCCCCCACCTGCCCTCTCACCCGCCACCCCCACACCAGCCCTGCCAGGCCCAGGGCTCCCAGCCAGGCCGGGCCCACCTTGGACTGGGGTGGGGGAGGAGAGGAGAGGAGGGAGGGGTGCTGGGAGGGACAGGCCGCATGGGTGTTTGGGCAAACCATTTCCTGCAAGCCAGACAGAATACACGCATCCGAGCAGGCAAGTCTAGGCGGCTCCGTGTCAACAGTCGAAGATAAATAAGATTTTATCAGCTCAGAATCTGTTGAAACACATCCATCTAGCGGTTCTAGGGAAGGAGAAGGCAGCAGGGACAGGGGAGGCAGAGAGGAAGCATCTCCTCGACCTCCCAGAGCAGGGCCACCACCAACGGCCTCTCCTGCCCACTTTCCTCAGACTTCCACCCTGAGCGCTGACCCCTCCAGTTCTGTCTGGGGACCTGCGGGAGTGCTCAGGCCTCTCCAGGCTCAAGACGTGGGTATTCCAGGGGTCCTTCCTTCCCGTGGCCACCTGTCCCCACCTGATGCTCCCAGGTGTGGGGAGGCCACAGGCATCCCTCCCTGAGGCTGCCGGGGAGGGCCAGGATGGGCACCTCTGCGTCCAGCCAGTCATGCGCAGTGGCAGGTGTGTGCGTGCCAAAGTGCACATGAGCGCTGTGTTGGGGCGCCTCTGTGGGGGGCCAGGCCGACCAGGGGCCCTTAGAAGAGGAAGGGAGGGCCTTGACTGAGGGAAGCGGCCCCCTCACTCTCTGCCCTCCACAGCTGGATTGGGTCAGGAACTGCCCACCGGAGGCCACTGGGCACTCCAGCTGGAGCCCCGCTCCCGCCGCCGCCCGAGTACCAGGGACAGCTCCCGGCGCCCGAGCTCCTCCCCGGGGCGGGGCGTTCACCGCGCGCTCCTCTCCGGCTCCCGCTGGCCGCGCCCGAGGTGCGCATCTGGGGCTGCGGTCCTGGCAAGTGCGCGCCCGGGCTCCGGAGGAACCGGCGGGTGGGGCTGGGGCAGGACCCTGGGGAAGGACAGGGGCTTTGAAGCCGCGCGCGCTGTTCAGACTCCACGGCTGTCGGAGCCGCGGGGCCGCGCGAGCCCGCTCGTCCCTGTCGGAACACGGCGGGAGCCGGGCGCGCCCCCACGGCCGGGCGTGTCGGGGCTGCCCAGGAATGCGGCGGCAGGGCCCTGTCACACCTCGCCCGGCCTCGCTCCAGCCTACCTTGGCCCAGGGCCTTGGTGGGCCTAATGCTCCATCTCAGGTCAAGGTTGGGAGCAGGGCGACTCTGGACGGTCAGCCCTGGAGAGGTAATGGCGGGAGCCAGGCCTAGAGCCCCTGGGCGGGTCCATGTGGTCCCAGCCCCTCCCACACCACCTCCATCTCTGGACGGCTGGGCCTGCTTACAAGGAGTGGGACCCGCGCAGGTCCAGCCTGGTACTGTGAACGACCCGGCAGTGTTAGGCCCGCGGACCTGCTGCGCTCGGCCACCCAGAGCAGGCATTGTGTAGTAGAGGGCGGAGAAGTCTGTCCAGGGTTCAAGGCAGCCCAGGCTGCAAACGGCAGCGCTAGACGGGGCTTCGGTGGCCAGACTTTGGGCTGTTCTCCTTTTGCTGTGGCTGGTGACTTTGACCTGAGCCCTGCCCCCAGGCCAGGCCTGTCTCACAGGGTGTCTGCCACCTGGACCCCACAGCCCATTTTCCTAAGGGGAGCCTGGAATGGATGCTTGCTGAAGGGGAGGCTCTCCAGCCCCAGGCTGGGCCCGATGTCCCTAGCTATGCTCAGATCCTTGTGCCTTTCTCTGGGGGCCTCCTCCACCAGGAAGCCCCCTTGGTTGGCCTCTCAGAGCCTCTCTGGGTTTTCACGGGGGGTCCCCTGCATGAGGCCAACTGTGCAGTTGTCTCAATCGAGGGCTTGTTCTGAAGCCTCACTTGTGAGTAGCTGGAGGATGGGGAGGGTCCATGCTGGGTTGGGGGATCCTGTGTGCTCTGTGGTCATTGCTCGACGTCTCACATGCCTCTCCAGGGAGGGACCACAGGAAGAAAGAAGCCATTTATTGAGTACAGGTTGCTCATCTCCTTCTATTCCAGGTTACTGGTGCAGGCCAGCCCCCTCAACCTTCTTCCAGTGCCTGCATTCTGGGGACATGCACTGTGCATACAGCAGGCACTCTCTAAGTGCTCAGCAGTGAGCAGCTCACCCCACAGGCTGCTTTGGGCTTCAGAGAAGTTTGGTAGCCTCTCCTCCACCTGTCAGCACTGTGTCACCACTCTTACCTGCCCAGGGCACTGGCACTGTGAGGGGTCTCCAGTCAGCACAGATGGACATTGTGCTACCGTGTGCCAGCTTGAGGCCGGCGTGACCTTTGTCCAAGAAACCAGAGCTCTGGCACAGTCTCCCAGAGCTTGGATGAGCCCTGTCTGAATCACCCTGGGTCCAAGTCTCAGAGGACCAAGCTGTGGACAGTTCCCACATGTCGTGGGGCAGGGCAACCAGTTTCCCTCCAAAGGGATGCTTTGGGAGTGGAGGGGCGGCATTTGTAGCGATGGGGACTCATGTCAGTGACCCCTCCTGGGAAGCCTTCCCCAGGGAAACAAGGAGGCTGCGCTCCCCAGCGTGACCAGAGCTGGCCCCTCTGAGTGCCAGCTGGTGCCCAAGCGGAGCTGAAATCCACTTGCCCTGCTGGGGATTTTCTGACCTGGCCTTGCCCCACCTGCAGGGTGTGGGCAGCAAGCTGGTCCTGCACCTAAGGCAGGACTGGGGGTGCGGCCTCTGCCTGCGGTGCCTTGCCGAGATGGGGGTCACCAGCAACCTCAGTCACACCCTCCTTTCCCTCCCCACTCTCCCCCGGCTTGGCTTGCCTAGCTAAGGGTACATGCGGGTCCAGCCAGTCCACTGTCAGGGGACCTCAAGTCTGAAGGAGCCTGAGGTCCCCCCTTGCTCGGCAGAGGAGAGGCCCTGGGTGTGTGGGCTCTGCCTGCTTCTCCAGCAAACACCTGTCTCGGCTCAGTTTCTCCATCTGTGCCACGTGGAGTGAGATGGGGTGCTGGGGGACACTTGTGGATGGTGTAACTCAAGATTCCAAGTCATTTGGGAGTCATGCAGAGGGTATGGGATGGGGAAGAAATGGCCTCTGAGCCTGGCGCCATTCCTGCTGACCCTGGGGTAGGAGGGTGCGTGGAGTCTTGAGTAGTGCCAGGATCCAGAAGTGTGTGTGTGTGGGGGGGGTCGGTCAGCCTGGAAACCAGTGGACACCCTTGGGTGGCCTCAGCAGGGCTGGCCGGTCAGGTGGGCAGATTGGGCCCCAGGGCAACGATCCTGGAGGCCTCCTCAAGCGGCTGGATCAGGAAGGGTAGAGGGCATCGTCCCTGGGGCAGCATCCAGGTCGGCCCTGGATGGACATCTGGCCTCCTCAGGTTCTAGGCTGGGGAAACTGGTGCTTTGTGGTTCGAGGAGCCCCATGGTGGCAGAGACCAAGCTCAGCTCAGAAGCGATGACTCCAGCCAGAGAGGGTGCCAGGGTCACTGGGCGGCGAGACCTCCACCGATCCAGGGAGTTCTCTATCCAAGCTCCAGAGCATCAGGGGCGTATGGCCATCTGCCAACACCATGAGCACTGCCTTCTGGGTTCTGAACGGAGGACTCAATACCACAAACCCACCTCCTCAGGCTCTGCAGTCAGGCCCTAAGGTTCATGCTGGGAAAAGCCAGGCGCTGGGTGAGGCTCGGAGGACGCAGCTCCCAGCCCCTCCCTGCCCCGCCCCCGCTGCTCCCCGCTCTGGTCTCCACCATCCACCTTCACCTAATGAGTGGAAGGGTGCCTGCCTCTCCAACCAGTGAGACCCAGGTGCAGATTGCCCCGTGGTTGCTGGCTCACACATGCCCCTCTCCACACTTTGAAGGAAAGACGGGTGGTCTGCACCAGAGTGCAGGAGGACGGGGCTCCGGGGAGGATGGCACTCCAGGTAGGGGACCCAGCCAGAGCCAGGCCTGGAGCCGGGCTGCCGACCTCCACCCGTTGCCCTCCCCCTCCAGTACTCCCCACTGTTGAAGAAGCTCTACTGCCAAATCGCCAAGACGTGCCCCATCCAGATCAAGGTGTCCACGCCACCGCCCCCGGGCACGGCCGTGAGGGCCATGCCGGTTTACAAGAAGGCAGAGCACGTGACCGACATCGTGAAGCGCTGCCCCAACCATGAGCTTGGGAGGGATTTCAACGAAGGTGAGTCCCCGCCAGCTCCCAGACCACTGCAGCACCATGGCCAGCGGCCGGATGACCAGCCGAGAGATGCAGGGTCCAGGGAGTGGGGGCTGACCGTGTGGATGCAGCCATTCCTCCCGGGGCCCCGTTTCTCCCAGCTCTGACTGGGGCTCCAGAGCGGGAGCAGGTGGTCTGGGGTGGGTCTGCAGATCCAGTGGCCAGGTGGAGTCCACATGGGGTGCCCTCCAGTGTGCTGGCCAGGCCTTGGGGCCACCTGGGGCTCAGCAGGATTGCTGAGGACAGAGCTTCTGGGCCAGGCACAGGGCTGGCAGCAGGCCTGAGTCCTGCCTGGGATGCCCAGGGGTCCAGGCACCGGGCCCCTCTCTGAAGTGGTGTGCCCTCCCGGCAGGACAGTCTGCCCCGGCCAGCCACCTCATCCGCGTGGAGGGCAACAGCCTCTCACAGTATGTGGACGACCCTGTCACCGGCAGGCAGAGTGTCGTGGTGCCCTACGAGCCCCCGCAGGTAGGCCAGGGGCCAGATGGGGTCCCCCAGGTGGAGATTCTGGCTGGCCTCAGGGCTCAGGGGCCCCCACTGAGTGCAGTTGTGTCACGAGGCCCTTGTCTGCCTGGCACCCAGCACTGGTTCTGACCGCCTGCTGTGCACACCGGCTCCAGGCCAGGTCTGACGGGCCTCTGTCATGGGTGGGCAGGTGGTCTCTGAGCCTCAGCCTGCCCTCCTGGAGTCTCCTCTTCCTGCCTGTTGGTCCCAACATTGGTCTGGGCCTGGGCTGGACACCAGAGGAGCACAGTGGACGTTCCCAGGCACCTCAGACTCCGGATTGGCCGAGAGAACCAAACCAGCAAGCACTGGTGGGGTGCGGGCATCCAGGCTGGGGCTGGACGTGGCCCTCAGGCCAGACAGGGGCATCAGGGGCAGGCGGCCGGAGGAGGAGAGGCTGAGGTAGGGCCTGACCTTTAATCTGAAAGTAGCAGAAGGTCCTGGGGATGGGGACACCATTCTGGGTCTGATGTGGGGCTCAGTTGGTGGGAAAGGGTGGGGGTGGAGGGAGGCAGAGGGTTGAGGGGACCCATAGAGGTGGTGGTGGGATGGGTGTCCCCGGGGAGGGCAGGTGACTGCCAGGCCCCATCCCTGTACCTGGTTCTGAGACCAGCCCTCCAGGGCCCCACCCCGTGGTCCTCTGAGGGCAGCCCTTTCTGTGAGTGGGACAGACCCCAGGGGTGTGACCCAGCTGCAGCACTCCCTCCTCCCTCTCCCCCCTCCACCTGCCCATGCCTGTCACCTGCCCAGGAAGTGGGCTCTCTCGCCCCCTCGTGGCTAGCATGTGTCAGCAGCTCTGTGAAAGCCTGAGTTTTCCCAAACCCATGACGGTTTTGTGTCCCTGACCCAAGGCGTTCATGAAAACTGCCCATTTTGTGGTCCCAGGATGCTCACACGTCAAATCCTGGGTTTGTGTCTTGGGCCTTCCCCAAACTCCTCAAGAAATAGAGGTGCTCGGGGATGTCTACCCAGGATGACTGTGGTCCCCTCATCCTTAACAGTGCCTCACATCCTGCCCCAGTGAGTCCACCGCATGCAACACACACACCCAGTCTCACGCAGCCTCAGGGCTTGACCTCAGCCTGTGCCACTGATGGCCCAGGCAAAGGGACCACAGACCCTTGCTTCCTGAGAACAGAGACCAGAGACCAGGCCTGAGCCCTCTCAGAACACAGAACCAGCACAGCACTCAGTGCTCAATACACTGGATGGTTGGATAGATGCAGGGATGGGTAATGGGTGGGTGGGTAGATGCATGAGAAGGTGGGTAGATGGGTGGGTGGATGGTGGATGGATGGATGGGTGGGTAGGTGGATGCTGGATGGATGGTGGGTGGATAGGTGGATGAATGGATGGATGGTGGATGGATGGGTGGGTAGGTGGATAAGGAGATAGATGAATAGATGATGGGTAAATAGGTGGATGGATGGATGGTGGATGGATAGATGGATGGATGGATGGGTGGATAGGTGGATGGTGGATGGATAGTGGGTAGATAAGTGGATGAATGGATGGATGGTGGATGGATGGGTGGGTAGGTGGATGCTGGATGGATGGTGGGTGGATAGGTGGATGAATGGATGGATGGTGGATGGATGGGTGGGTAGGTGGATAAGTAGATAGATGAATAGATGATGGGTAAATAGGTGGATGGATGGATGGTGGATGGATAGATGGATGGATGGATGGGTGGATAGGTGGATGGTGGATGGATAGTGGGTAGATAAGTGGATGAATGGATGGATGGTGGATGGGTGGGTGGGTGGGTAGGTGGATAAGTGGATAGATGAATAGATGATGGGTAAATAGGTGGGTGGATGGATGGTGGGTGGATGGGTGGGTGGGTGGGTGGAAGGGGGTGAGTAAGTGGATGGATAGATTGACAGATGGATGGTGGATGATTGGATGGATGATGATGACATGAGAACAACAGAGAAGCCCCCCACCCTGTGCCTATCCAGAGCCAGGGCCAGATGTGGTTGATGCCTGCCCTCCTCCTGCCTCCCCGCGTACAGGTGGGGACAGAGTTCACCACCATCCTGTACAACTTCATGTGCAACAGCAGCTGCGTGGGGGGCATGAATCGCCGGCCCATCCTCATCATCATCACCCTGGAGACCCGGGAGTGAGTCTGCCATGATGTGGTGGTGGAGGTGGAGCAGGGCTCAGGCCAGCACCGTGGGGCTTGGCACAGAGCCGGGACGGCAAGGCCAGCTGGGAGAAGGGTCCGCAGGACAGGCTGCTGGGAGGGAGGGACCTCCCCTGCCTCCGGGGCAGGAGCTGGGCCTTGGGAGGGAGACGGGGCAGGCTGACCTCAGAGCAGCCCGCTGCTCGGGGCTGTGGTTCTTCCTGTGGGAGCACTCTGGCCACCCTGCCTCGGTGCTCGGCCCAGGAGGCCAGTCCTGCGGGGCCCACAATGGGCGGGGAGAGGCAGGGCTGGGCTGGGTTGCTACAGCTCATGGCTCTGGCTGTGCCCTCCTGACAGTGGACAGGTGCTGGGCCGCCGGTCCTTTGAGGGACGCATCTGTGCCTGTCCTGGCCGTGACCGCAAAGCCGATGAGGACCACTACCGTGAGCAGCAAGCCCTGAACGAGAGCGCCACCAAGAGCGTGGCCGCTGGCAAGCGGGGTGAGTGGGCCTGGCGGTGGTGGGCGGCCGCGCTAAAGGATGGAGCTGGACATGCGGGGAACTTGGGGGGACACACTAGCATCTCTTAGGCAGATCCAGGCCCTGAATGGTCCCGGGGCCCGGAGGCCTCCCTGGTCCCTGAGCCCCTGGCCAGGGCACCTCATAGGTCCCGGCCCACGTGGCACCCTGGGCTCAGCTCGTCTGGCCTGGCATCTGTCCAGGTTTGCTCCGATCACGTGCTGCGTCCATGGGAGGGCCAGCTTGCATGGGAGTGGGGTGTCTCGAAACCCGGGCCTCCGCCCTGTGCCCTCCACCTGTGGCCTGGCTCACCTGCCCTGCCTGCCTCCCTCTAGCGTTCAAGCAGAGTCCCCCTGCCATCCCCACCCTGGGCAGCAGCGTGAAGAAGAGGCGGCACGGGGACGAGGACGTATACTACATGCACGTGAGTGAGCACCCCAGGGCCGCAGGGGGACCTGCCTAGCTCTGTCACTTGGGCAGCCCAGGCCGGCGCATCCCAGAGGCCACCAGGGGTGGCCCCCACACCTTCGATGAATCTCCATAGAAGGCAGGGCCTCAAAAGAGAGGAGGCTCCCAGGGAGCCGACCCGACAGGCCACCGCGAGTGAGGCGGGTCCGCCAGGTCAGTGGCTCTGAGCCAGGCCGATCCGACGGCGGAAATTCAGCAGGCATCCCATAATCCTCAGTTCTGGCAGGTGGTGTGTGGCTTGTGTGTCTAGGACAGTTGGCGTGAGGCCACTTGGCTGATGAATCGAGGCACCTCATGCCTCGATGGTCTCCCTCTTCCACAATGGAGCTGAGGGGTTTTAATTCTTCACAGGGAGCCTTTGTTGAAATCCCCCGTCCCCTGAGCAGGAAGGAGTGGCCATGGTTCCCCTGGACAGGAGGCCTGGCCTGCCACTCAGGTCATGGTCACTGGTCAGATCTGCTGCAGGGGAAGGGGAAAGGCCAGGGAACCCCGAGGAAGAAGACGCTGCTGCCAGCCGGTGTCCTCCTACGGCAGCGCTGCCCCCTAGGGCCCTGGGCCGGTGGGGTCCTGCGTGCCCCTGGCAGAGCGTCTGCCTCTGTGCTCAGGTGCGCGGCCGGGAGAACTTCGAGATCCTGATGAAGGTGAAGGAGAGCCTGGAGCTGATGGAGCTGGTGCCGCAGCCGCTCGTGGACTCCTACCGGCAGCAGCAGCAGCAGCTCCTGCAGAGGCCGTGAGTGAGCTGGCCGCCCCTGGCTGGCCCTGCTCGGTGCCGGCCACCTGGCTGGGAAGGGGATGGCTCTGCCCAGCAGGGGAAAGGCAGGAGCACTGAGGTTTTCCTGGCCACTGGGGACCAGCAGTGGGGCCTGGCGGCTCAGGGCTCAGCTCAGGGTGGTCCTGTGGCCACCCTGGGACCCTGCGTCATGGCCTTCACTATGTTCTCCCTCCAAGGGGCCTTGTGAAGTTTGCTGAGTGGAAAGGTAGGGAGGGGGCAGTTGGGGTGACGTCAGTGGCATGAGTCAGCTCCACCCACGACAGAGGTCCTGCTGGACAGCAGGGGAGGAGGCTGGGGGCTGGGCCTGGCTGCAGTGGGCAGGAGGCCAGTGAGGAGGCAGCCGCTCTTGAGGCTCAGTGGGTCAGGTCCCCTCTGCCTGCGTGCAGTGGCACTCATGGACATGCCTGGCCTCCTTAAACGTGGTTCATTGCTTTCCAAGCAGGAGCCCCCTACAGCCTCCATCCTATGGGCCTGTCCTCTCCCCCATGAGCAAGGTGCACGCCGGAGTCAGTAAGCTGCCCTCGGTCAACCAGCTGGTGGGTCAGCCTCCCCCACACAGCTCAGCGGCTGGGCCCAACCTGGGGCCCATGGGTGAGTCCCTCGTGCACTGGAGGCCCCAAGTGGGTTGGGGAGACCCAATACTGGGTCTGGCTAGAGTCACTGTGGCCAAGCTGGTGGGAGGGCACGGGCCGCTCCTCCCCCAGTGGCTCTGGTGGGCAGCAGGGTCCACTGGCAATCCCAGGAGGGCAGAGACGGCATGGTTAGGAGCAGGCGGCTCACAGCCCTGCACCGCCTCTCAGCAGCTGAAGGGGCTGTTGGCCTCACAGAGCCTCAGTTTCCCCACGAGGGAAATGGCATTAGAAGTGCCAGCCTCACTTGTTTTGAGGGTTAAATGATGAAAGGGGGCCCCAGCACTTGCAGGAGGCTCAGCCAGCCATGTGTCTGAAGCTGGGGTGCCCGCAAGGGGTGTCCTGAGACATCCAGACCCCAGCATTAGAGACCCTGAGACCTGTGGTGCTCTGGTGCCCGCTGCTGTCCCTCTGCCCTCTCATGGACTGAGCAGCTTGTACATAGGTCCATACCTCCTAAGGACAGGAGCCAGGGCCCAGGGCTCAGTCCTTGCTTAAGCCTCGGGTGGCCGTGGTCACTGAGCGTCACACTGCCAGCCTTGATGCTGCCTCGGGAGCCTCCTATGGGGCCTGCCTGCTCGGGGACACTGAGGCCCACCTGCCCTCCTGCCCAGGCCCTGGGGTGCTCAACAGCCACAGCCACACGGTGCCGGCCAACGGGGAGATGAACGGCAGCCACAGTTCCCAGTCCATGGTCTCGGGACCCCACTGCTCCCCACCACCACCCTACCACGCCGACCCCAGCCTTGTCAGGTATGGAGTGTCTGCCTGACAGGGCTCCTACTGTCACCCTGTCAGCAGGGGGTGGTCTCTGCACGCTGGCCGCTGCCCGCCCCCTCCTGTTAATCCACAGCGTAACTGCAAACGGTCCTTAGAAGGGAGAGCACCAGGAACAGGGCTTCTGGCTGATGCCCCCAGGGTTGTCCATGGGTGTCCCGAGGGAGCCACAGCTTTGTCTGAGGCCCTGGCCACTGGGCTGAGCCTCCCTGTGAGAGGCTGTTCCCACCCGCCAGGCCTCACCACGAGGTGCCCTGAGGCTCATGCTGCCGTTGTCCCCCGGCCCCCGCAGCTTTCTAACAGGATTGGGGTGCCCAAACTGCATCGAGTACTTCACCTCCCAAGGGCTGCAGAACATGTATCACCTACAGAACCTGACCATCGAGGTGAGGCTCAGAGGGGGCAGGGGCTGTCCCGGAGGGAACTGCCCTCCAGGGCAGGGGAGCGGGCAGCCTTTCCCTGGGTGGGCAGAGCCTGGCCACAGCACTCACTTCCCCCTGGAGGCAGCTCTCGAAGCTGCAGGCGAGGTCCACCGGGTGGGGAGGAGGCTGGTGGACTTGCAGCGGGGCCTCTGGGAGCTGGGCTTCAGGTTGTCTCTGGTCAGAGTCTTCTGGTGCCCTGAGTCAGGCTGCCTTTGATTTTAGGGGCTGGGCTGTTTCCAAGGCCTAAAGTGTCAATGCAGGAGTCAGAAGGGGTGGGTTTAGTTCAGAACCATGTACACTAAGCCTCAGAGAAGGCAAGCAGCTGGCCCAAAGCCACGCAGCTCATCCTGCATATGGCAACCACACATTCTGGGTCCAGAGTTCGGGGCTGGAAGGACCCCAGGCAGCTGTTTTGAGCAAGCAGCCATGCTGTCTCTGGTTTCAGTACGAACACTGGCAGGCTGGAGCCGGACTGGTCTGCAGTGGCTTAGGGTTGCCCTGACAGCTGGACAGGTCCATCGGACACAGCAGTCAGCCCTCGGGGCTGCAGCTCTGTGCCTCGGGCCCTCTGCTGTCCCTGCTTCTCGGCCAGCTGGCTCACCCAGCTCAGAGGCCAGCTTTGAACCTGGCCCAGGGCCCCAGGCCAAAGGTGCAGATTTGTCTGACGGAGCTGGGGCGAGAGCCTGGCCACTCGCTGAGGGTGGTCATGGCCGTGTCCGCCCTCCACCCTCCCCAGGCTATCCCCATGGCCCTCCTGGCCAGCTCAGAGGGCCCAGGTCAACTGAGCCTCACCAGCGCTGTTCATGAGCCTGGTGTGGGGAGCAGGGGTGGCGGGTGGTGGAAGCTCAGGGCTGATCCGGGATTACTGCCAGCTAATAGCCCCGAGGGGTGCCCCAAGGCTGGGAGGCAGGTCATCCACCCGGCCCCATCTCTACCCTGACTGTGGCCAGGGCCCTGCTGGACACGGCCCCAGGAGGACTTCCACGCACTTCTCAGCAACCCTGCCAAGATGTGGTGTGGCCCAACACCAAACACGGGGTCCTGTGCTGCCCTCTTCTGGGCCCCTCCAGATGACAGTGCCCCTGGGCAGGGGCTTCCTTGCGGGTGGGGCGTCTCTAGGAGAAGGCCACCAGCTGGTCATGTGATCCTGCAGCTCTTCTCCTGCCCCCGGGGGGCGCCACTCTTGCAGGACCTCGGGGCCCTGAAGATCCCTGACCAGTACCGCATGACCATCTGGAGGGGGCTGCAGGACTTGAAGCAGGGCCATGACTGTGGCCAGCAGCTGCTGCGCTCCAGCGGCAACACGGCCACCATCTCCATTGGCGGCTCGGGGGAGCTGCAGCGGCAGCGGGTCATGGAGGCCGTGCATTTCCGCGTGCGCCACACCATCACCATCCCCAACCGCAGCGGCCCCGGAGTAGCCGGCCCCGACGAGTGGGCGGACTTCGGCTTCGACCTGCCTGACTGCAGGTCCCGCAAGCAGCCCATCAAGGAGGAGTTCACAGAGAGTGAGAGCCACTGAGGGCCCGGCCTCCCCGGCGCCTGCCACGGTCGCGCTTGGCCTCAGTGGCAAGACCTTTGGGCTGTGCCCGGAGAAAAGGCAGGGTCCTCCCAGTGTGCACCGCTTCCAAGGGGACATCACTGGCCTTCTGCAGCCACCGGAGATGCCCATTGCGCCTGAATCCCTGTGGGAAACTCTGGAGCTGCCTACCCGCAGGCTGGCCAGGTTGGGCGTGGGCTGGTGCTGGGGCAGGCTGTCCCTGGCAGGAGGAGCCACACCAGCATCTGTTCTTTGGGGACTCTGCCCTCTCCCAACCAAGCAAGGACTCCTCTGCTGATGTTCTGCCAAAAAGTATTTCTGGTGTCTTTTTGTTCTGGGTAGCGGTGAGCAGCGGGTGACTGCCCTGAAACACGGTCACCGGCAGGTTGAGTCCAAACTGTGGTGCCCAAGGTGGGGCTGGGGACTCCTCTGCGGGACCTGAGGATGGCTCTGTCCCCTGCGCACCCACTCGCAGTGACCGTGTCTTTCCTGCTCAAATCAGAGCTGGCTGGAACTGGAGAGGACGGTGGACGAGGGCATGGCCCCTCCTTGGAGGCCAGGAAGCTTCTGGCACCTGCCTCCAGCAGGCACCCCCACGAGCACCTGGCCGCCGTCACCGAGAGAGGTGACGGAGAGGAGGGGGATAGCACGTCGCGGGGACTACTGGAAATCGTCAACATTTGATAAAATGTGCTCTTTTGTACGTGGAGGGTCACTGTGGTGTAGTTTTGTCCTTGAGTTCCACTCTGAGCCGTCCCGGGTTCTACCTGGCACATCTTTTTTGCTTCCCACGTGTTGCCAACAAGCCCGGCTCAGAAGGGGACGAGCCGGGGGGACTGTCACGTGTCCCCAGGATGGACAGCGGTGGAGGAGGGAAACCGAGCAGCACTCAGGAGCGTCCTTCCCTGTCCTCTGTGGGGGTGTCACAGGTCCACCTCAGGCCCGAGGCCGGTGCTGTGCTGGTGGCAGTTTCCTGTTCTCAGGGGATGGCACTGAGGCAGGGACGGGGGCCCGGCCTTGATGGAGCCTAAGGACAGGACTCCACAGGTGAGGGGAGACGTTGGCAGGGGCCACCTGTGGGCCCGTCCGTCTGCGAGGACCCTCCTGAGCCTCCGTAGCCAGAGCACCTGCAGTCAGGGGAGGGCAGGAGGCCTCAGTGGAGGAGGTCATCCTTGATAGTCCTCCTTGGCCTCCAGTGTGTGATGAGACCAGCCCCTCTGCTCCACTTGCAGGACGATGTGGCCCTGGGGCCAGCCGTTGGCCCTCTGCCAGGGTACACTCAGAGTTGGTTCCTTCAGGCCTGGCTCTCCTCTAATGTCATTTAGCAGGGACACTGAAGCCCCCAGGCCAGAGGGTGGTGCAGACCAGCTCCAGACCAGGACTTGGTCCCGGGAGGCTGCCATCGTCCACCACTCCAAAGCAGGAGTGTGTGCTGACACAGGCACAGCCACCACACGCCACCACACCCTTCTCAGGACCTTGAAGGACACAGATGCCTGGGTGCACGTAGGGTGGGAGTGGCCAGCAACTGTCAGGGCTGCCCAGGAGGCTCCCACTGCAGGCCAAGGATGACCACAGGGTCTCCAACATCTCCCTCCAGCTCTGGGGCAGGCATTGACTGCAGCTGCCAGGGGGCTGCCGTCTCCCTGGACACGCCCCCCCACCCAGGGACCCGCTGCAGCTGTGGGCTCCGGCCTGCTGGGTGCAGGTGGCTCCTGGCCGAGTGTTGGCTCCCCTCCACCTGCACAGTGCAGGCCTGGCTTTGCTGGTCATTGCACAGAAGAGGAAACCAAGGCAGACAAGGCGGCCGCCTCAGGGCTGACGCTGGTTCTGCCCCCGCAGCAGCTCAGGAGCCGTGCAGGTCCCTCCTGACCTGGTCCTTAGCCCGTCCCAGGAGCACCGAAGTGCCAGAGTGGCTACCCCTAGCAGGCACGCTCCCTGCTCGCCCCAGTGAAGGAGGCTGTGTTCCGGGGGTGGGCGGCTCAGGGCCTGGAGGGGCCCCCCTCAGACGTCCACAGAAGGATGGGCAGTTGGAGAACACGCTGGAGGCGCCGTCTCCAGAGCAGGCCAAGGACACTGGTGCTCCTCAGGCCCCCTGGCCTGTCGTCGGCCTTCAGCACCCTGGCACTGCCGACAGAGGACTTGGGGTGAACGGCCCAAGGCTCTGCCAGGGCTGGAGGGGGTGCTCATTGCCCGGAACCCACCTCCTCATGAGGTTGAACGTCCTGGTCAACAAAACTCAAAAATTAAGAAAAAATAAAACTTCAAGGCCCAAGGTCCTCCCAGCAGCACCCGGGCGGTAGCCTGGAAGGTGTGGTCAGCCGGATGCCCTCTGCTGAGCCAGGACGGGCGGGAAGGCCCGACACCCCACAGCCCAGGGGTCTCTGCAGTCTCTGATGGCTCTGGCCATGTCCAGGCGTCAGCACCAGGCCTGGGCTTCGGGAGCAGTCACCAAGCTCAGTGTGCTCCCTTGGTGCCAGGGCTGGTGTGCAGGAATCTGGCTCAGAGGGAAGCTGGGGTTGGAGCACGCTCGGGATGCTCTAAGGCTGGGACCAGCGCCACCCGTGTCCTCGGAGACTGCGCTCCTTCCAGCAGTATTAGTGGACGCATTCCAGCGCAGACTGTCTTCAGTAATGTAATCTTGGGGAAATGTGTTATTTTTTTAGCTGTGTTTTGGCGGGAACTTTTGTTTTGTAACCTAATAAAACACGTTTTCGGATGACGGGCTCTTGAGGCTAAACCCTCTCCCGGGCTCCAGAGGATCATCCTGAGGTCCTCATGGTCCTGGTCACACGGCAGCAAACTCAGAGAGATGGGGTATAGGCAGGAAGTGTGCTGGCCCCGCTGGCCCTGAGCACTCGCATCTCTCTCTCTCTGGCTGTCAGTCCCTCTGACTGGGCTGGGGTGGAGGGTCCCCTGCCCTCACCCCAGGAGAGGACGTGTGGGCAAGGGAGTGGCCTCCCAGGGGCCTGGCCACCTCAGGCCCCAGGTTCAGGCCCCCAACCTCTCGTCCCTACTGGGTCCCTGGCTTTAGAAGGGTCACTGGCTTCCAGGCACGTCACAGACACCCTCGGGGACACGGGTAGTCAGGCACATGCACGCTCCTCGGCAGGACCCAGGGGGACGGACGGAACCCAGGGCTGGCTCCCGGCAGGCTTGCGGCCACCTGGGCTTCACTTTGGTCCCCTGGTCTCAGATTTCTCAGCTTTGAAGTTGTGAACGAGGCGTCAGGAACCTGTCACCGCAAGATGAGGCTGGGGAGGCTGCTCAGCCTTGAGGGAGGCCAGTCTGAAGCAGAGTCGGATGAACAAGAGGCCCGAGGCAAGGTGGGGAGAGGCCCACGCTCCCCCCTGCTGCCTTGGAGCTCCCCTGGGGTCCCCATGCTGGCCGTCAAGCACAGGGAGGCCCAGCGACACCCTTCCATCTGCGTCTTCCCTGGAGCACGTCTTTGCCCATGAGCAGCTGGGCCCTTCCCGGATTCACGTCCATCCCCGGGTCCACCGTAGTGGGCTGAGCGGGACACACATCCCCCCCTTCCCGGGACGGGACTCTGGACCACAGGCACCAGTTCCTCAGAACTGGACGGGGGCGAGGACTGGGATGACTCATTTGGGACAGCCACCCACAGCACAGACGCCGGGCGCTGACCGCCCTGCGGAACCACAGCAGCTGGTGCCTTCAGGGCCAGTTTCAATCTGTGCTTTAAAACAACGTGGTTTGGGGGTGGACGGCCAGTCAGCTTCTCACGCTGTGTGTGACCAACGACGGCTTAGACGAGGTGATTTTGGCTCACGGTTTCGGAGGCTCAGCCCGCTGTGGCCGACTCCCCGGCTCTCCCAGGTGAGGCAGGCTGTCACGGGGGAGGGACGGCAGAGGACCCTGCTCCTCCCAAGACGGCCAGGAAGCAGGGAGAGGGGAAGGTCCCCAGGGAAGACGCACCGCCCAGGGCAGCCCCGGGCCTCCTCCTCCAGCCAGCCCCACGGGCCCCAGTTACCACCATGGCCCCATCCACGGGACGGACTGATGAGGTCTCACAGGAGGGTCACTTCGCCTCTGGACAGTGCTGCGTTAGCACAGGGGCTGGGAATGCCTGGTGCCCACCACAACACAGGGGGTGAGAAGTACAGTTATTTTCAAATACACAAAAACACCTCCGATAGGTCTGATTTTTAAAAAGATGAGCTGGGCACAAAGCAGAGCTGCCCCGCTGTAAGGCCCCGTCCCTCATAGAAATGCTTCCACAAGGAACGAGAGGCCGGATCCGGAAACGGTGTCCACGCCTACACAGGTGGACTTTGGCGCATGCCCTCTGACTGGAAAGGAAGTCTGTCTGCCAGCAGGAATAGTGAGTGTGCGTCACCCAGTGCTGTGGCCATCCCACGACGTGGGCGCCAGACGACGCATGCACCACCTCCCACATTCTCCAGGGAACTGTCACTGCTGTGATCACCAGAAAAGGCCTGAGGACACACGCAGCTGCTTGGGGCGCTCGGCCAGCCCTCAGCTCGGCTCCCACAGGGGCTCAAGTGGAGGTCACCCGTGAGCGACACCATCCAGACCCGACTCGCAGTCTCCCTGAGGACTGACCAGCAGGACTCCAGGCCTGCCGAGAAGGCCGGCCAGAGAGGCTCAGGCCTGCACTGATGCAGGGAAGCAGCTTTGTCACTGGCCGAGGTCGCGTGAAAGCCAGATTCCACCAGCAGGGAGACACCACGTCCAAGGGCTCCTTTCTTGTTTCCAGCAACCATGTCACGGAGGTCCTGCTTCTCCTCAGTCACAGGAGGAAGTAGAACAGGCCGGGGGCAGCGCAGGGCTAGTCTTGCCCATAGAAGCCACCACTGCCAGGGCTCCCAGGACTGCTGGTGGCCTCCGTGGACATGGCCCTGAGGAACTGCCCCCTGGAGACTCAGGGGGCCTCTTCCTTGGCAGAGGCTCCTATGCACAGGCTCAGGGTGAAACCAGCACCTGGGAGACAGAGGTCACTCCTCTGGTGGACGTGAGGAGGTCCCAGACTTCTGGGGTCAGTCTGGGGGGCTCTTTGGAGGTGCCCACTCAGGACACGTGATGCCCACCAGAGGCAGGAGTCTGGACAGGGCTGCCATGTTGCACACCTGGGACTCGAGAACATTCCTACCGAGGGTCACCAAGGTGGCAGTCACAAGCACAGATGTGCAGTCAGTGGGCGGCGCCTGGGTCAACTTCCTGCCTGAGGGGGCCAGTGGCTGTCCAACTCCCTGGAAAGGGCATCTGGCCGGGAAGCTGGCAGACACTCCCGAGTCCCTTCTGAGGACCTGCAGGTTCCTAGAGCATCTAAGGATGTCTCCATACGGGGCCTGGTGGTGGCTGGCCTGGGAGTGGGAGCAGAGGGACAGGGAGAGACCTGTCCAGTGATGCCCAAGGGCTCTGATCATCCACTGCAGCTGCCCAGGGAACCACATGCCAGCTGACTCTCGCAGGTCTAGAGCGGAGCATGCGGTGGCTAGAAGGGGCGGCTGGCGTCCTCTAGACCACCCACAACCGGCCTGCAGCTGGTCAGCGGAGGGGCCTTTGTGGGGAGGGAGGGGCGTGGGGAGGGAGGGGCCGGAGGCAGCCATTTGCAGGACAGCTTCGACCTCATGCCACCAGGCAGCCACCAGACAGCTCTGCACGCAGCCATGAGAACCACAGGCTCTGGGACAAGCACACGTGGAATGTCACCTTCACGGGACA